TCGAACGAGATACTGAAGTCAAAATCGAAGCACTTTTAGTTTTTACTGCCTTAAAACGTGATGACAGACAAAAAAATAAATATACAAAAAAAAAACACACACACACCATGGTAAAATCAATACATTCATTGGTCCGCTCAGAATCTAAAAAATGTATATTATTTGCAATTTTTTACTAATTAAAATGGTAATATGATATGTAACCAATGAAGCGATGTCAACCATTTAAATAAACAAAAAACAATTCCTTTTTCATTAGCTGAAAATAAATACATGCGTGAGCTACCCTTTAATCTTAAAAGATAAGCTATAAATATTGTTAAGGTATCAATGAATCTATTGATATAACATTTATTTAAAACAGTTCACTAATTTTCGAGTCTATATGATTTGATTACAGACAGACAGACCAACGATCAACATCTGTTTGTCTTACAAACATATTATATATTATATAGACCTGCAATCGATATTAGCTCACTTTTTCAATTCATCTACGAGCGATGTGTAGCAACCAACTCGAGTTGACGTAAATATTAGTTGTCTTACAAAGTTCGCGGTAATGCCTTTATAAAAACCTGAAAGTTTTTCTTTTCTTGCCATGTTTGTTATTGCATGAATTGAACTTTTGTGATCCGAAGTTGCACCCTTCTCGCCACTCAGTTGCATGCGAAATTTTAGCACTTCTAATGGATGTACGAACACCGCTGATCCCATTCTAATGCAAACAGCGGTTATACAATTTTTTTTAGAGCCAACAGATAACATAAATTAGTTGAAAAATAGTTTAAATATTTTATTTTTACCCCGACAATCCAGCAATTGAAAAGTTCACGTAAAATGGCAGAACTTTTTTCTTTTGTTCGTTCGACATCTTGACTGAATATTGTATTAGTAATTATTCGTTCACGAGATCACTATAACTAATTTTCGCTAATATATATACACGATCGAATACAAAACAATTTGTTTTTATGCTTAACAACAGATAAACAGTTTGGTACATCATTCGTATAATATTTATATTATTTAAGCTATTTTTTGTATGTATAGTTAACTATATATCAATTGGTATCATCCTATCGATAATTTTTCGAAACGCTTAAAGTTTTGTTTGGCGACGAAAATATAATAACCGTATACTGTACTTTGTGGAGTTTATATTATGTACAATGTACAAATTAGCTATACTTATACGACTTAATGTAATATGGTCATCAATAAATGTCAAAAATCAAATAATGTTCTGTACACTGTTTCCAATATCCCAAGTACTGACCTATATTATATGTATTTAATTTGGTAGTAAAGCATAATACGGTCATAATATGTGAATCGTTAATTTACTTGTTTTATGGTTTTAATAAAAAATAGATCATAAATAACCTTCAAATTGTCGGTCAATATTAGTTTAATCTTTAATGTAGGTACACCTTTTTATTTTCTTATGTAAATATTATATTATAAATATTATAATAGTTTATTGTATATAATGTTTTCACATTTTAAAGTGAATAGGAAAATATTAACAATAGACCTATCAGTATATTATAATATGTGCCTCACTGCCTACGTTATACCTACACACAATACACAGTAAATACGTACAAGGGCGTTAGCCGAAATTATTCAAACAAATAGAAAACAACTAAAATAATTTAGTATTAACTTGGCTTGTTTGTTAACCACTTATTATTTATAGTAATTCAGTAAGCATTTTTATCCGCCATTTTTTCCTTCAATAATAAATTTATTCAAATTCTGATTCATGGAACTTTTATCTATACTTAAAGAACATTTTTTTAATTACTCGAGATTTTTTTGTAATTCTTAAGGAGTACTATCTATATTACAGACTATTATTAGGTTATTCCATTTTTCAAATAACAGCTCCCTCTCTTTCTGCTGCACCTAAATTATTTAGTGGATAATTGTTTGTTTTCAACATTTTGTTATGTCTTATTAAAAATTTGACCGAATCGTAATTTTTCAGTTATTACTTTTAAAATGGTTTTACAAAAATATATAATACAATATATGTAATATTGGATCTATAATAGTATTTTATTAATTACTTTTCAAATCACTATGACTATATAGTCATAAGCTCATAGCATAGTTCCACATCTTTCAAACCCATTTTCATGAACCGATTTCGAATTTTTATTTTTGTTTTTTAATACGGAAAATTTTCAAAAAAATATCCGTTAATGATTTTAGGTAGAGGGGGGGGGGTTATGATTTTAAATTACTGTGTAATAATGAAGAAGAAAAGGATGCATACTTAGGTAATTAGGAACTTGGTGAATAGGTGAATCATCCTGTAAAGTTTAATCGTCGTCTCGCTGCCCAAATAAGTCGTTATCGGTTATCCCCATCTGTTAATTTGCCTAAATTTAACATGTAGGTAGGCACTTTAAAAATGTATGAAAAATATCCATATATTTATTTGAAGAAGTTATAAATCGCAATATTTAAATGTTTTATTATTATTATTATGTATGACCATGAGACTTGGGTTTTATAATGTATAAATACATATTTTTACTGTGACTTGTTAAATTAATTTAGGCAAGTGGATCATTTTGTTTCAAATGATTTCTATTAAAATGAACCATACTTAATTTTACTCATTACGTCATAAATATATATTTCACAATTATTTTTATTTTTCCAACATATACTCAGATAATTTTGATAATTTATGTAAGTACCTACAAATGTATACGTATTTGTCAGCTAACATTTTATGGAAGTATGTATAATAATATATTTTTAATCATTAATTATTTTTTATTTATTATATACGAAAAGTGAAAAGTCAACAAACGTCGAGCTGTAGTATGTGTTTCACGACTTAGTAATTTAGTATAGAATACTTAGTAATTAGTATATAATAGCTGGAAACCTATATCAAACTACCTACTTAGAATAAAATTTAGAGTTTTTTTTATTGGAATCCGGTTAATTCTAATATTACAAGCTATTAGATGTTTACTAATTATAGTTTTGGATGGCCGAAGGTAATTTCGAATGTATACTAAACTAGGTCAAAAATATTACATTATAGATAATGTGTGGAATTTGTAATTACATTTTGATGCCGAAGATGATTATAACTTAATAAGGTTTAGGAATAAGTGGGGTTGAGCACTAACTACGCTTTTTAATGATTCTGAAGTGACCGCCACAATTAAAATTATTGACTTACTGAAAGTTTTATAATTTATTAAAATATATATTATAATATACTATAAAATATATACTATTATAAATGTATTATATAATTCTATATATATAATTTATAAATTATAAATTTATAATATAGTGTCATGCAGATGATCAGTAATATTAATATTGTCTGTTTGGTATTCTTATATAGTAATCACTAATCAGTGGTTGGTTTTATTATTATTTATAACTATAACCATGATAATTCAAGTTAATAATTATTTATGGGAAATTTCGATCAGTGAGTTGATKATGTTTCGTATATTCGTTTCACTATGCGATCACTAAGGCCTGGAAGTTCATGCGCTAATAAAAACTATCAAAATACGCATGCAAATATGCGCTAAATACATAGGCACTAATTGGTTCAATTTTATGGAGGGATGGCTTAAGCCCTGACTATTTATACATTGAGTTTTTAGACACTTATAAATTGGGGAGGGGCTAATTATAACTTGGGTGGGGGGCTAAGCCCCATTAGCCCTTCTGCGATTTGCGTCTAAGGCTAATTATGATTTTTTTTTTAAATTTAAGTTTTTTTCCATTTTTGGTAAAAATAATAATTAAAATATGGGAAAAAATATTCATTATAGTGATACCTATTTAATTATTAATTAATATTATGTATTACATTATATTTACTTTAAAAACTTACAGTTTAAAACTATAGAGACTTTGACAGGTTTTCAAATACAAATGAAAGGCGAATATCAGCTAAAATGTTTTGATAAAGATAAAAGTTCCGTTCTACATCAACAGAAGAGATTGGTGCATACCCTTGAAATGTATGAAATCATTAATTTGAAAACTTTTTGGTTAGCCACTTGTTATTGTTTCTTCTCCTGACATGATTTTTGAAACTTTTGACAGTGTTTTAACTGTTTTAAGCCCCTCGTTTTTCTTGATAACTTGTTCCAATTTATTATCTTAACGCCTTTTGGAACTTAAATTTTTTTTAAGACATTATCTAAAGTGATCACTGCAGATCACTATTTTCAATTATAATACAATACTTATTGCTATACAATAATTATTTGTAAATTTTTACTGCTTAGTTAATAGAATATATTTATATAAAAATCGTATTTACTGGCTAGTATTAAAGATATAATTACATATTATTTAACGTTAAATACGAAATTTAGATATAAATTATAACATATTATGGATAGTGATAATATTATTTAGATTTCATGGTTTTATTTTTAACAAGAATACCTATAATAAAGCGGATCGTATAAGGATTATATATAGCCATATAGGTATTATATAATCTATAACTATAATATCTACTCTTGTGATGAACAACAAACTATTTAACTATGCAAATAATCTTTAGCGTAAAACACCTAAGTTATACTGACTGTTTGTCTAATAACAATAAATTTACATAAATATGAATTAATTTAGTAGCATGCCGTAGAACGACGTCGCAGTCGACAGTTGTGGGACCAATATTTCGCGTGGCTGCATGCATGGGCGACGCGCGTTACACACTATAAGTTCTTTCAAAATAATCTATTTAGAAATGTCATAAATACCTATTTTTAAATTATTAATTGTTTATAGCATTTATATAATTTTTTTATATGTTTAACTAGTAAATATTTTTATTTTATTATGCTTCAAGAATTTCTGTTACACTTTTGTTATATTAACCGATGAATAAAAATTTTAAAAACAACAAGCAACCACACAGTTAAATTCATCGTCGATTTCTGAAAAAAACTCTAATTATACTTATTTTTTTGGAAAATCTAGAATGTCACGACTAAAGTAGCCACCATATTGCTAATAGTCCACAACGTATTTTTCACTAAAAACTATATTTTTTTTTGCTTAATACGATATGAAAAATTATATGTGATGGGAATAAATTATATTGTAATTTATGAAATGTAGTTAAGTGGAAAATGATTTGGGTGCGATGTGATTGGTTTTATACTCAGTTATAATTATATAGTATAAATTATTACATCTATATGCGATCTGGTAATAACTTTTACGCGATTAATCACACTATTAAGTATTATTATATACTTAGAATTTTTTTTTACTATCCTTGTTATTTTTAAAATATATTTTCTCGCACCACCGAAATGCTATTGGATATATAATGCAAGCATTTTTTTAAAAAGAAAAACTTCATTGTAAAATATTATTATCCCAAACATAATATAGTAATAACACTAATAACTAATAATGTATCACGTACTATATAAAATGTATGTTATATTATAGATACCTATCATTAATTATAATATTTTCTACTCAAGCAGCTTGAAACGTAATTTTACAACGTGCATACTTAAACAAAACTGTTATAAAGTTATTTAACTACAGTAACAACTCAGAATTTAATATGTGCATATGACCGTTGACTGTCCTGTTTGATTAAGTTAATTGTGTAGCGACAATACAGTGGTTGATATGAACCCATTTAATTGGTAGGGTATTGTCAAGCAATATGTGTCACTCGAGAAACAAACAACGTCTCTCTTGAATATTGCTACATATTATATTGTATATATTATTATACCTTACCATATATATATAATATATACTACCTACAATAATATATGCAACAATAACCCTTTTACCGACACTGCAGTAATTTATTATTGCATATTATTATTTTGATTA